AGTCTGTCTGTCCTCCGTCCGTCGGGGGTGAGTGTGCTCTTAGCACGGACGTCCTTGAGGACAGGCAGGAGGAGTTCCAATGTTTTGCTGCTGCTTTGCCTCATCTCGTGTCCATGCTGATTGCCCCTGAGGGAGACCCGGATGCACCAGACATCCTGACTCCTCGATCGTACGATGAGGTTATTGAGGGTCCCTACTTCTGACAGTGGCAGTCAGCCATGGACGCAGAGATGGCTTCCTGGAAGTCCACAAGCACCTACGTCGACGAGGTTCCCCCACCTGGGGCGAACATCGTCAGTGGCATGTGGATTTTCAAGGTGAAGCGGCCGCCGGGTTCTCCGCCTGTCTTCAAGGCGCGTTACGTGGCTCGAGGCTTCAGTCAGCGGCAGGGAGTTGACTACTTTCAGACCTTCTCTCCCACCCCGAAGATGACCACTCTTCGGGTGCTGCTGCACATAGCCGCTCAGCGCGACTACGAGCTCCACTCTCTTGACTTCAGCACAGCTTTCCTGCAGGGCAGCCTCACAAAGAGATCTGGTTGCGCTGCCCACCTGGCTTCACTGGGTCGTTTCCTCCTGGTACTGAGTGGAGCCTCCGACGGCCAGTTTACTGTCTCTGTCAGGTGCCCCGTGAGTGGCACGACACACTGAGGACTACACTTGCGGCTCTTGGGTTTGCTCCTTCTACAGCCGACCCGTCGCTGTTTCTACGCACCGACACCTCTTTGCCGCTGTTCTACATCCTCGTGTACGTCCACAACTTGGACTTTGCTACTGCTGACACAGCTGGACTCGCCCACGTGGCCCGTACCCAGAGCTTGTTGGCTGCCTCATGTACCTGATGACCTGCACACGACCTGACCTTGCATACCCTCTTAGCATCTTGGCACGCTATGTTGCTCCTGGGAGACACCGACCAGAGCACATGGCTGCAGCGAAGAGGGTGTTGCGCTACTTGTGCAGTACGTCGGGCATAGGGCTAGTGCTTGGAGGGCGACGTCGAGTGGTCCTCACAGGTCACGTAGCCGCTTCTTGGGCTGACAACCAGGCTATGCAACGATCGTCACAGGGTTACACCTTCAGCCTTGGCTCCGACTCTGTTTCATGGCGGTCTACCCGCTCGTCTTTTGTTCTCGGCTCGAGCTGTGAGGCTGAGATCTACGCGGGGGCCATGGCTGCACAGGAGCTACGCTGGCTCACCTACCTGCTGACTGACCTAGGAGAGCCGCCTCGTTCTCCTCCAGTTCTGTACGTAGACAACAAGGCCATGCTGGCCTTGTGTCGGGAGCACAGACTGGAGCACAGAACGAAGCACATTGCTCTCCGCTACTTCCTTGCTCGTGAGCTGCAGCAGCGTGGTCAGCTGCGCCTTGCTTACGTGGCCTCTCAGGCCAACACTGCTGATATCTTTACCAAGGCACTTCTGCCTGGTCAACATCAGCGCTTCTGTACTATGCTAGGTCTTGTGCCTACTTGGCCTCACTTGCTCACTTCTTGACCTTACTTGTACTGTGATCTTTCTATACTTGCACTTGCCTGTTTACGTTTATATATGATCTTGCATGTGAACTGGCCTTGTGGCCTTGCTCTTGTGCTCGGATTGTGTGGTGATGTTGTGATCCACCCTGAGCTTGCTTTGCTTTGCTTGACTGGTCTTGTGACCTCTTGTTCTCCCCCACTTTGCCTATGGGGGTGTGTCAAACTTATATCATATAGCTTGTCTAGGCTATAGTGGGGTAGACACTATGGGGTACAGTTTCCTAGGGTTTCCTACTTGTACCCAACCTTGTGCTAGTTCATTCATTCCTTATTTCTTCACAGAAGGACCCGCGATTGGTGCCGATGCTGTCTCTGCTGCTGCCGATGTTGTCTCTGCTGCTGTCGATTGAATTGTTGCTAATGCTCTTGCTAGTTCTGCCTCAGGAATGGTGTGCGAGTACCAGAATTCTTCGGGGCTGAAGTCAGGATCAAGATCCGGTGGGTGCGTCCAGGAGGTGAAGGTGACGATCCCGTCGCTGTCGGCGGTGCCTAGATCTGGAACGAAGTCGAGAACAAATATGTTGTTCTTCAGGACGGCCTTGCCGATGTAGAGGCCTCCTCTCCCGTGGTACAGCTTGAACTCTTGTGTTGTGTTGTTTGCTTCGAGGTGGATGCCTTTCGCCATCAGCTGACTGACGCTCCGTAAGTTCTAGCCGAGTCCCTCCGCAATTAACACCTTTGACATCTGTAGTATGATATTTGTCTCTCATGACTGAAGTTGCACTACGCCTTGTCGTCGTGTGTGCAGGTTCTGGTTGTTAGCAACGGTGATGACGACTTCGCGTTGAAGTTGGTGTTCGCGTTGAACGAAGCGACCTTAAGAGCACATATGCTGTCCGCAGCAACTGTCCAATAACCAGGTATCTTTCCCGGACGGCTCGCTTTGATCAATGGCTGCATACGTCGGGTTCGGTTGAAGTGACTCGCGGCGAGGAGTGCTGTTGTCGAGTTGCTCTTCCGGTGAGTAGTGCGGTGGTGACTCAGTGATGCAGGATTCAGTCAGTCTTGCCATGCAACTGACGATGTTTCTTGTTCCTTGTGCAGATTGCGTTGACGATTTCGCTGAGGACTGCAGTTGACTCGTGGGGTGCGCTTGTGTGGACGCCACTTGACTACTTGAAGGACGAAGTTGGCATTGCGGCGGCGTTGACTGTTGTCGATTCGGGCAGTGTGTGCGAGGGTGCCCTGAAGTCTTGCAGAGATGACAGAATGGAGGTACGGGTTTTGATTGATGCCGATTGTTGTTGTTGTTGTGGCGCCGTTGAGTGTGGAACGCAAATTCAGGTACAGACGTTTTCCTCTTGTGCCGCTCCTCTTGCAGGTCCATATCTTGCTGCTCAGCGTGAATTTTGACGCATAGTGCTGCTTCGGAAATCTTCCCGTGAGCTCGGAGTATGGCGCGAGTGGAGTGCCTATGAGGACCAAGACCGCCAATGACGACTGTGACGAAGGCGTCTTCTGAATTCGACCCTCCGCAACGAAGGGGTTTGTCGCGCAATTCACGACAGCGACTGATATATGCCATCCCTTTTTCACCTAGCTTCATTTCCACTGTTGTCAGTTGTGCCATTAACCAACTCTAATTGACGCTGTCTATTGCCTCATACAGGTTCTTCAGGTGGTTGTACGCGAGCTCGGTGGAGTTCCCGTATCCTCAGTAAGACCGAATGTTCCGCTGCTAGTTCGGTGTGACGTTGTGCAGTAGGATAGTATACGCCATCATGGATTGATATGTATACTGCTGCTTGTCGTACTGCGTCCCGTGCATTGGATATGGCAGGGACCCGTAGAAGAAGCCAAGAATCTGCGCGCCTTCCATGATCAGCTCGAATTCGAATGACCAGGTAAAGAATTCCTTTCCGTCGAACGGTCTTGATGTCTGCAGTTTTAAGACGTGCGCAAACTGCGACTGGACTTGAAGTGCATCTAATGATTTTTCTTGCTCAGGTGAAGGCTGTTGGCGTGGCATGAAGCTGACCGAACTGCGCTGAGGTTCGTATGGGGCGAAGGTAGGTTGTTGCTGATTTCCTCGCGCGTATGATGAACCGTCGAGGCTCATCTGTGTCACATTGTTGTTGTTGCTGTTGTTTGACTGCGCAGGTGCCCCTTTGCTGGTGTTGTTCGTAGAAGGACATGAAGGAGAAGAATTTCTCCATCATGTCTGTGTCAAAACCCGCAGCTTGATTCGCGGGAGTTTCGGTAGACCCAGCTGCCGGTCTTGTTGCTGTGCCCTCCTCTGTCTGTAGGCCAGAGGCAGGAGGTAGAGTAGGAGTAGTACCGGGAGAGCCGCTAGAGGAGCTTCTCTCCTTCTGCGTTGCCATGCCTTGTGATGTTGTAGTTGAATTTGTCCTGATAGCTCTCATACCATGTTGGGCTGAGAAAAGCCCTTAGGATCTTTGCAGGACTAAGCTCTGAGTAGGAACAATGTAATAGCGGAAGCGTTTAATGATAAGTCTGTGAACCACCTTGCGCTAGTATGTGAGGATAAAGTAGATTGATTAAAAAACAATGAGATACAATATTTTATAAGAGTGCAGGGGAATATGAAGGGTTATAGCTAATAACTTTTTTGGTGTTGCTGTTGTGGTTCGATACAGTGACGACTCGGGCAACTGCTCAGTAACGAGTCTGTTGTTTGTCCTTGCTGTCGCGCTGTACTTGTCAGGTCAAAGGTCACTGACCTTTGACTTTCGTGTAACCTCCAGCAGTTGTTCAACCTCCGAGGGTTGACTCGCCGATGCTTCGCTGTGTTTCGCTTCGTTTATGACTTAGTGCTTCGACACAACAGAGGCGCTTAAGTTACTTGTTTCCAACAGCATCATCTCTGCTGTCGCATCATCTCTGCCGTGGCATCATCTCTGCCGCCGCATCATCTCTGCCGCCGCATCATCTCTGCAGCCGCATCATCTCTGCCGCCGCATCATCTCTGCCGTCGCATCATCTCTGCCTTCGCATCATCTCTGCCTTCGCATCATCTATGCCGTCGCATCACACCACCGTATTCCGCATCCTTCCTGCCAGCGCTTGCGTGTTATCCGCCCCTTCTTCAACATCTGATGCTCCTGCTGACCTGCCTTCTGCCTCAGCGGTGCTAACAGTGATGTGGCAAAAAGTTCATGATTTATTAAACGGTTTCAGATACCAGACACTATAAAGATACTCATTGTTCCATGCTTGTACCGTCTTGTTTTGAAATGACTTATTGCAAAGCATTGATCATGATTGGTGTAAAGCTCATCTGCTGCTGGGCGCTGCTATCTCAATTTTCTGCTCCCATCTCAATCAACGGCCGACTACAAGACATTCAGGCGATTTCCAACAAGCACACCAAAGGCAAAAATGCTGCTGATTTCATTAAAAAAGAACAACGCAATGTTCCCGTCCACCTCAGCCCACCCAGCATTTCTAAGATATTCTCAAATTATTTCCCATTCCTCATTTCAAATCCTCATTTGGCCCGGCCTAGTCGCACTTGGACCTGCACTTCTTGGCCTTGTGCTTGCACTTCTTGTAGTCGTCGGTGCACTCCTCGTGCTCCTCCTTGTCGTCCTTGTACTTGCGCTTGCACTTGCTGTAGTCCGTGTTGCACTTCTTGTTCGTCTTCTCGCACTTCTGCTTGCAGCTGTGCAGCATGCGGTGCGCCTGGGGAGACCACAGGAAACGCCTGCTTCCGCCGAACAGCTTGCTCAGGAAACCTGCTGAAACACAAAGACAACGAAAAGCCTGTCAACACAGAAAGAATGAATAGCAGCCTTGTTCACCAATAATTTGAATAGGAGAGTGAGCAGACATTTCGGCATGCGACGGGGGACATTATCTTGCTAGGGGCTGTCGGAGCTAAACACACCAGGCTCCGACGCGGCAGAAATTTCAGTGGGGTCTTCAGCGTCGGCGTCGAAAGCGGCATCGTCTTCCGCGACGATCTCATCCGCGCGGCAGAGCGGCGCGAGCGCGAGGGACACAACCAGAGAGAGCGCGAGCCAGATGAGAAGCTTGGAACGCCCCATGGCTGGGTGAGAGAAGGCTCGGAGCGCAGTTGATAGAAAGTAGAGAAGCTTTGGAATAGCTTGTTTAGAACTGGATGAATTCGGGGATGGGGGGCGCACCTTTTGTACCAAATTTTGGTTGAGGCAATGCAATGCTTGCTCTGGTCTGCACCGGGACGGGTCAGCTCGGCAAGGCGGCTGCAAGGCAGTTCGGGGCGGGGAGGTTTTGGTGCGAGGTCTCCTAAGCTGATGAATTTTCACTAAGAGGTCGGCGTTTGGAATGACGTGGCAAAGAATTGCAGGTGATTCAATGGATTTAGATAGGTGTGATTTCTGTGTAGGTGGGGATTGGTTGGTATTGGAGGCATATTCCAGGTGGCATAGTGCCAATCTTGTTTACGAAAGTGTTTACGCTTTTTGTGCTCGAAACGGGCTCGCGAAACGTTACTCCCAATTTAGGAAGGAACCTGTAAATGGTGAGGCTGTTAACCAACAGGCGGCCAACTCAGCGCGGCCCGCGATCCTGATTCTTCATCGAGGTCGAAGCGCGCACCAATGGGAATCGCTTATGCGAGCGGGCTGCGCCCGGAACATCAACAAGGGTCAAGAATGGGAAGCAGTAGTACACCATAATATTCTTTATAATGGGAAGTACACACTTCCAAGAGGAGAAAAAAGCATAACTTCTTGCTCACTAACTGATGTGCTTTAATCGTGTAGATCTTAAGACGTGCAGGCGAAAAATGCTTCGCGCACTAGCATTCGCTCCTCCGTGAAGAAAAGATATATACCCTCCATTCCATCTGCGCATAAAATCCAGTTTTTCCGGTTACACGCAATGCATGTTTTTACGAGAAATGTGACTTACCATTGTTTTTGACAGCTTGTAGTGTTAAAACAAAAACATTATACCTTTAAAGATGTCTGTGTAGCGCGTCTCAGCGCCTTGGATCAGATGTGGCGCCTGACACACACTGACAGCCTCCCTCAACCCCAGGTTCTCGCTAGGAAACACAGATTCCATCTGTCGCACTACTTCCCCCAGTCCTGTGACAGATCGTCGTCACGTCATTCACGACATCGTGGAGTGCAGTTCTAACCCCATAACGGCATCAGGGATTGTATCAACCTGTTCACAGCGCGAATGCTCATAACATGTCAGATCCGAGAGTACCAGCGCAAGTAAGTCTAGCTATCCACTTCTAGCTAGATACCTTTCGTTCGGACGTGAAGGCTGAGACCACTCATACTGTCACTGCATCCTCTTTCCTCTCGTTTCGTTACCTTTGATAGTTCTTAGCAGGCATTTTCTAGGTTGAAGCATAAGGGTCCTGCAACGACAGATTGGCACGAGATCCTACCCAGCATGGCGTCAGCCGTCGTAGACGAAAAGCTGCTTCGGTTCGGTCAGGCCCTCGAGTCTGTCATCGATGCGGAGATTGAGAAGATAGAAACGGACGACATTCAGCAACTAAGAGAGCGACGGCTCAAGGAGCTCAAGCAACAGGCACAGAAGAAGCAGGAGTGGCTAGCAGCCGGACACGGACACTATAAAGAGCTTTCCTCAGAAAAGGAGTTCTTCAGTGAAGTCAAAACCTCGGACCACGTCGTCTGTCACTTCTTCCGAAGCAGCCGGCCATGTCAGGTACGTTTCCACAGTGTGTGGTCGAAAGGTGGTGATTTGTTGCAGATCCCTCTCAATTTTTCTCGTTTTCCCTTGTCGAATCTTCTTGAATCGACTCAATTTTTTTCTCATCTTCTCCACAGATCATGGACAAGCACCTTGAAATCTTGGCGAGAGAGCATTTAGAAGCCAAGTTCCTCAAGATCAACGCGGAAAAGAGCCCGTACCTCGCCGAGAAACTGCGTATATTCATGCTTCCGACGCTGGCCTTGGTTCACGAAGGCAAAGTCACAGGATACGTTGTAAGTCAAATAAGGTTTTCGTTTTTGTAAGGTTTTCAATCACAATATCGGTTGCATTAGGTCATAACGTGTTATGCATTTGCTATACACAGGTTGGATTTGACGAGCTTGGCGGATCTGAAGATTTTCCCACAGAAGTTCTCGAGACTCGGCTAGTCCTTGGTGGAGCTCTTTCCGAGGAGAAGCTGTCTGGCCGTCGGCACTCCAAGCAGACAGCCGCTACCGTGAGACGAGGCGGTGATGCCGGCAGCGATGACGATGATTTCTAAAATGTTTCTTTGCGGCCCCTAATGTGCTTCAGAAGCTAAATTAGCCAATGCTAGTTCCTTTAATGTATAAAAAACGTCAGGTGGTAGGCCAAGCGTTGTGTACATTAGTCACCTTACTCTTTGGCTTTCTTTAATTGCACAAGGCCTGTGAATTAAACAGAAGAGCTAAATTTACTGTAACTGCAGGAAGAAACCAAGGCAATCAGGTATTACAGGTGGAAGAAATGCACTACTAACTGCTACCTAGACATGAGATGTAAGTGACGTAAAGCAAATATTGAGTCGCATAACCCCAGCATAACCAAGTAACCCCTGGCCATGTTCAAGAATGTGGTTGGGTGTGCGACTCCCACTGGTTCATCCCTCCAGGCGGTGCTACAGTAGCATCGGGTGCAGCATAAGGTATGGTCGGCAGCACCGGGAACAACCCCTCCTGCTCCTGCCCGTAGCTGTACTGCTGAGCTGGCGGTTGATAATGATGATGTACGGGTGCTGATGCGCTGTACGGGTTATGATGCGCTGGGTACGGTTGATTATAGTACTCATTACTGTAGGTGTAGGTTTGATGTTGGTGGTAGTCTGGTTGTGGGGGCACTTGCTGCTGGTAATCCACAGGGGCGAACTGCTGAGGAGGCTGCATCTGCTGCTGTTGTTGCTGCTGATATCCACTGTAGCTCCCTAGTATGCCTCTAGGATCAGAAACGGATGGCTGGGATGCACTTGTGTAGAAACGAGTGAACGGATTAGATGCTCCCTGCTGCTGCTGCTGCTGCTGCTGCTGCTCTTGCTGCTGGTGCTGCTGCTGCTCTTGCTGCTGGTGCTGCTGCTGCTCTATCTGCTGCTGCTGCTGCTCTTGCTGCTGCTGTTGCTGCGGCTGCTGCTGGTGCTGGCTTGTGAGAGGAGGAGAGCGGAAACCGGAGGATGATTGAACGGCCGAGGGAGATTGAAGGCCTGAGGGCGATTGCAGCCGAGACGGTGTTTGAGCACTGGAGGGAGGGGACTGTAACGGAGCTGCTCTTAGAGAGGCAGGTGGACGGGCAGACGGCCGAGAATGAGAGTGCCGCTTGTGCTGGGACCCGCTCTGCCCTGCTGCTCCTGCTCCTGCTCCTGCTCCTGCTGTGGCTCTTCCCCTGGCCAAATGAGCAGCAGTAGCAACAGCAGTAGCAGAAGTACGGAGGGAGGGAGTCACCCATTGCACGTCCGGTGGGGGAGGCGAGGCAAAATCGCCGCTCATCACTCCCCCGCCCCCTCCCCTTCCCCCTCCCCCTCCCTCTCCCCCTCCCCCTCCCCCTCCCCCGTCCCATCCCCCTCGCACTCCCCCTCCTCTCCCTCCCGCTGGTCCTGCTTGCGCTGCGGATGCACCCCCAGTGCGCCCCTCCCCCACCCCTTCTGATGCCAACCCCAGGTTCAACTGAAATCCAGCACTCTCTGTCCTGCCTCTCCCTCCCTCCCCCCTCCCACCATCTCTCCCTCCCTCTGCTGCTACTGCTGCTGCTTCAGTCCCAAACCCCCTTCCAAACTCCCCGGCTCCTCCTCCTCCTCCACCTCCTCCTGCTCCTCCAGCCCCGGCGCCATCTGCCTCCAGGAGAAAATCTGTGATGAAATCAAGAGTGGGGGTGTTGACCCTCGAAGGCCCACTACCAGCACCAGCAGCACCAGCACCAGCACCAGCACCAGCACCAGCGCCAGAACCAGCAGCAGCAGCACCAGCAGCAGCAGCAGCGCCATACGTGTGTGCTCTCTCAACTGCACCATAGGAGCGGTCGAATGTGCTCGTTGGCTCTGCCCTCCGGTCATCCCTCCACACATCCAGCAATGCGTTCACATCTGTTCGCTGCCCCTGCTGCTGCCTCTGCCCCTGCCCCTGCTCCCGCTCCTGCTGCTGCTGCTGCTGTTGACCAAAGCTGTTCAGTGCTGCTCTTTCCATAGCAGCATTGGCTGCTGGCACGTCCTCCTCCCCCTCACTATCACTCAAATTGATCGGATTATCCTCCCCTCCCGCATTCCCAAAATAGTTCGCCCCACTCCCTCCACACACTCCCGCGCCTACCCCCGCACCCCCACTGCCCCCCACTCCCCTCCCCCCGACTCCACTTCCCCCCACTCCTCCCCCTCTGCCCTGATTCGCTTCCCTCCCGCGCCCACTGTTCCGATTGCCAAGAGACGACCTGTCTTCATGCCCTGACTCTGCCGTCTGTGCTGCTCCCACACTCGATTCCCCCCTTGCATCCACCGCTGCCCCGTTCCTCCCTGCTACAGCCGCTCCTGCAACAGCTGCTCCTCCTGCTGCGCCCATGCCTGCTTGCACTGCTCCAGATGCCCCAGGCCATCCTGCTAGCGCTGCTGCTGCTGATAAGTCTCCATTGCTGAGGGTGTTAAATCCCTGTTGCTCTCTTGTACCCCCTCTCGTTGTGTTCCCGCCAAACCCAAGAGACAAACCAACATCTTCTCCTGCCAGTGTAGGTCCGTTTCCTCCCCCTCCTCCTCCTGCTCTAACTGTGTCTGCTCCTGTTTCTACTCCTCTTCCTATTGGCCATCTCGTGCGCTGTCTCTTGGGAGTGTGCACGCCAATGGGAGCAGGAAGGGTACCAGCAGCACCAGCATTAGCACCAGCACCCCCATCAGTACCATCACCAAGCAACTCAATTACCACTGGCTGCTGCTGCTGCAGGAAAGGCAACTGCTGCTGCTGATAATACTGCTGCTGCTGAAACTGCCCCGACTGCTGTTGCTGCTGCAGAGCCTGCCTGCAGTCAACCTCACTCCCTCCCGCCTCATCCTTCCCCATCCACCGTCCCCTCTTCGCCCGGGACTCACCAGACAACAAATCCCACGCCCCTCCTGCGCCCGACCTTGTCCCGCTCGTCACATCATCAGCCGTATCCCCCTGCCCCTCCACCATCCCATTCCCATTCTCCCCCACTCCCAACCCCACTTCGCCCCCCACTCCTATCTCCCTCTTCACCTGACCTGCAGGCAGGCGCACGTCTCGCCAGGGGAGGTCGGCGGCAGCAGCGGCAGGAGTTGACTTGGCTGACTTGCCTGCTTTGGTAGTTTCCATGCAAGTGTAAAACAAAGAAACGAGAGTCGATATGAGAAGAGATGCACTTAAATAGAAAGAAAAAGAAGAAAGAAGGAAAGAAAAAACTGCTGCAGCGGCGGCGGCAGCAGCAGACGTTGACTTGCTTGACTTGTCTGACTGATGGCAGGTGAAAAGAGTACGTCCACATACGGTTGAAAAAGGGTTATAATTGTTCCAGAGCGGTCTAATTAAAACAAAAGATGGTTGGGTAGGTTTCTCTGCGAATACGTGCATTGTTTGACCCGCCCTTACCTGCTTTGGAGGCGCCATGCAGCGACTCTAGTTTGGGCCGCCACGTGCCATCCGCCCTCAGTTGAATGTCTGTCACGTCACTGTCATACTGAGCCATCTAGGGAGGATAAGGGAAGGGTGGGGAGTTAGCAGGGAAACGTGTAAAGTGGGATTGCACTTCAAAACATGCCGTGAGCCCTGAGTTGAATGTAGGTGAGTTACTGTCATACTGAGCCATCTGGGGGGACGGAGGGGAGAAGGAGGTGTGTGGAAGAGGGGAGTGGAGGTGAGGCGGGTAAGAGCTCTTTGAGGCGCCACATGTCATCCGCCCTGAGTACAATGTCAGTGACGTCACTGTCATAGTGGGCCATGTGGGGGGGGAGTGGAGGCGGGAAAGGGGGACAGGGGGGAGGGGCAGAGTAGGCCGGGTAGCACTCAGCAATGTGGCGTCCGCCCTGAGTTGAATGACTTTTAAGTGGGGGTGAAGTTGAATGTCAGTGACGTCACTGTTGTGTGGGGCCACCTGGGGATGAAGGGGAGAGGGGGAAGGGGAAGGGTGGGAGAGGGGAGGGAGAAATGGGAAGGGGATGACAATTTGTACATCGTTTCTTGGGAGGAGGTGGGGGCATGTTTGTACGCCTGTTTCCCTTGCAAACATACCCACAGAGAGGAGATGAGCGAGAAAGGCACCTCTTTATTGAGAAGAAGAGCGGGCGGGTGGGAGGGGGGGGGGGGGGGAGGGGGAAAGGGAGGGCGGACATTTCTCTTGGTAGACACGGTGGAAGACGGGGTAGATGATGAGCAAGTGGGCTGGGACACGCGAGGATGTTGGGAGGGGGAACGGACCTCTTTTGTCAGGAAGGGGTGGGAAGGGCGACACAGCTGTCACGGTGGAGGAAGGGGTCTATGACGAGTTAGTCGAGCGCGTAGAGCTAGGGTGGGCCCTATTGAGGTATGCACGTGTCGAAGCAGTTATCAAGTGAGAAACGCCGTAGGCTGGGCGAATTAAGGAAAGACTCTGGAAGCTTCAATACTAATGGACAATCACAGAATACCAACCACTCGAGCTTCTCCAGCCGTCCAATCGTCACTGACACGTGGCAACTGATGTATGTGGCAGCAAGTGATGTACAAGGTGTATAGGTGTTTGCTTGAAGGAAACGCACCTCTCTTAATTTTCGCATTTGCTCTTAGTACCATCCGCATGGGTAAGTAACGATTTACTCTTAGTACCATCCATATAGAAAGTAACGCACTTACTCTTGAGACCATCCACATGGGCAAATTACGCACCTACTCGTTGTACCATCCATATGGGTAAGTAATGCACTTACTCTTCGTACCATCTATAGGGAAATTACGCACTTATTCATATTACCATCCACATGAGTAAATTGCGCACATACTCTTACTACCATCCACATGGTTAAGCAACACACTTGCTTTTAGTACCATCCACATAGATAAGTAACTTACTTTCTCGTAGTACCATCCACATAGGTAAATTACGCACCTACTCTTAATACCATTCACATGGGTAAGCAACACACTTACTCTTAGTACCATCCACATGGGTAAGTCATGCACTTAATCTGAGTACCATCCACATGGATAAGTAATGAACGTACTCTTATTACCAACCACATGGGTAAGAAATGCACTTACTCTTAGTACCATTCATACGAGTAAGTAATGCACTTACTTTTACTACCATTCACATGGGTAAGCAACACACTTAATCTTACTACCATCTACATGGGTAAGTAACAAACGTACTCATAGTACCATCTACATAGGTAAATTACGCATTTACTCTTTCTACCATCCACATGGGTAAGCAACTCACTTACTCTTAGAACCATCCGCATGGGTAAACGACGTACATACCATTAGTACCATCCACATAAGTAACGCCCTTACTCTTAGTACCATCCATATGGGTTAGTAACGCACACATTTTTAATACCCGCTACATGGGTTGTAATGCCCCCATGGGTAAATTACGCACCAATTGTTAGTACCATCCACATGAGTAAACTACAGACTTACTCTTAGTGCCATTCACATGGGTAAGTTATGCATTTACTTCTAGTATCATCCACATGAGTAAAGAACGCAGTTACGCTTACTACAATCCACATGGGTAAGTAACACGCTTACTATTAGTACCATCCACATGTGTAAATTATGCACTTACGCTTAGTACCATCCACATGAGTAAATTACGCATCTACTCGTAGTACCATCCATATGAGTAAGTAACGCACTTATTCTTTGTACATCTACATGAGTAAAATTACACACATACTCTCACTACCATCCACATAAGTAAACAACACACTTACTTTTGGTACCATCCACATGGGTAAGTTACGCGTTATTCTTAATACCATCTACGTGGAGAAATTACGCACTTACTCTTACTACCCATGCATGTGGCACGGCAGCAACTGATGTACGTAGTGTATAGGTGTTTGATTCAGGGAACACACCTCCCAAAGACGATTGAACGGCTGAAGAAGCTCGAGTGGTTGGTGATATGTGATTGTCCAAAGGTATCGAAGCTTGCAGAGTCGTTTCTTAATCTGCACTACTTACTGCGTTGCTCATTTGGTAACTGATTCGAGTCGTGATCTCTTCCATATAACTCTGGAAAAGTTTTCTCTGTACAATATCTTAGCCTTAGTAATCTGCGAAATCTAGGGATGAGCAAAGGGCGAACACGAACATGTTCGTCTTCGCCCGTTGTCGAACACCCTCTTTTGCCGAACCGAACACTGTTCGGTTCGGCGAACAGTTTAGGAAAAAACAGGTGTTCGCTGTTCGCCTGTGGAGGCGTGTTCGGGCGAACCTCGAACACTGTTCGTGTTCGTCGCGGGCAAATTTCAGCAGCGGCCCGAACACGAACGTGTTCGGGCGAACATCGAACACTGTTCGGCGAACGATTTGAGCTAAAAAACAAAACCTGTTCGGTTCGCCTCGAACACGTTCGAGGCGAACCGAACAGGTGTTCGCCACCTTGCTCATCCCTAGCGAAATCTTCGCAGTCTCACTGCTTCGTTCCAAGACTCTCGACTAAGTGGCTGGAAGTGAGGTATTGTGAAGTATCTCACTTCCAGCCACTCTAATCAAGAAAAGTCTTGGAACGAATCAAGGGTGCAAAGATTTCGCAGACTGCTAAGACTAGGATATTCTAGTGAGAAAAATGTTCCCAAGGTATATGGAAGAAATGACGACTTGAAGCAGTTACCAAGTGAGCAACGCAGTAAACTGGGCAGATTGAGAAACGACTCTAGAAACTTCGATACCTTTGGACAATCACATATCACCAACCACTCGAGCTTCTTCAGCCGTCCAATCTTCCCTGGCACATGGCACGGCAACAAGTGATGTATGTGGCAGCAGGTGATGTACGTGGCTGCAATTGGTGTACGTGGCAACAACTGGTGTGCGTGGCAGCAACTGGTGTGCGTGGCAGCAACTGGTGTGCGTGGCAGCAACTGATGTGTGTGGCAGCAACTGGTGTAGGCAGCAGCAACTGGTGTGGGTGGCAGCAACTGATGTGGGTGGCAGCAACTGGTGTGGGCGGCAGCAACTAATGTGCGTAGCAGCAACTGATGTGCGTGGCAGCAACTGATGTGCGTGGCAGCAACTGATGTGTGTGGCAGCAACTGATGTGCGTGGCAGCAACTGATGTGCATGTTAGCAACTGATGTGCACGTCAGCAACTGATGCACATGGTGTATAGGTGCTTGAGGGAACGCACCTCCCAAAGACGATTAAATTTGCCGAAGAAGCTGGAGTGTTTAGTGATCTGTGATTCTCCAAAGGTAACGAAGCTTCCATCAACTACTTTTGGACAATAGCAGATCACCAACTACTCGAGCTTCTTCAGCCATCCAATCGTCTCTGGCACGTGGCACGGCAGCAACTAATGTACTTGGCAGCAAGTGATGTACGTGGTGTAAAGATGTTTGCTTAAAGGGAACACACCTCCTCACAGACTCGGTGGAAGAAGGGATCGATGATGAGCGAGTCGAGCGCGTAGAGCTTCATGCACACGGGGCACTGCCACTGGGGGGAGCAGAGGAGGGAAGGGGCGGGGGGACAAAGGGCGCAGGGCGGAGGGGAGGAGTGGAGTGAGCTACGATTGAGGGTCGATGGGGTCAATGATGAGTGAGTCGCACAATTGAATCGCATTGACACTTGCCGTTCGAAAAAATCACACCTGCGCACCTCAACTCTCAACAACCTTGCGAACGCGTTGGTTAATCTCAATGAATGTGTGCAGGTCAAAGCACCCCACGTGCGCACACTAACCTCCCCTCCCCACGTGCTAACATAGTACCAGCACACCCGCGTACACATCCATCAACATGCCTTCCTAGCGCGTTGGTTGATCTCAATGAATGTGTGCAGGTCGAAGCACCCCATGTGCGCACACTCCCTGAATCGCCCTGCCTCTCGAATGCGCGAGCCACTCATCTGGGAAGAGGGGGAGGATGGTGTGAGAGCAGTCGACTCCGAAATCAAGTGGGGAAGAGGGGGAGGAGGATGTGAGAATAGGCAGTCATCTGAAGTAGCAAGGGAGGGAGGGAAGATGTAATGTAACTTCAGCCAGTTGGGATGGGAGGACGGTCTAGCCTTGCTGCAAAGCTACTCGTCCATGGAAGAGCAGGATGGGTTGTGTGTGTGTGTGTGTTTGCACAAGCACACTCACAGGGCAGCGCAGGTTGAGCGTCACATGATCCTGCATCACAATCAGGTCGCTGCTGCTGCTGCTATCCGAAGACACTGCTGGCTTCGCCCCACCCCCACCCCCACCCCCACCCCCCACCCCCACCCCCACCCCCACCCCCACCACCCCCACCCCCCCCACCACCGCCTGCACCGCCTGCCCCTCCTTTCCCACTACCCCCACCCCCTCCTCCTCCCACACAGCGCTTCACTCGAGCGAGGGCGGATTCAAGTGACTCCCCCACGTCCAGAGGCGGAATCATGGCCATCACCTGGCACGGGGGGTGAGGGGGAGAGGGTGCAGGAGATGTTGCTTGGATGTGTTGAAGCAGGGCGCTCCACTTGAGCGAGGGCGGATTGGAGTGACTCCCCACGTCCAGAGGACGAATCATGGCCATCACCTGGTGGTATGGGGGTGAGGAGGGTGAAGGGGAAAAGGTGAGGCACTGCTTCAGACGTGCTGAAGCAGATAACTGATTCGAGCGAGAAGGGACTCGAGTAACTCCCCCACGTCCACAGGAGGAATGGCCATCACCTGGTGGTATGGCGGGTGAGGGATGATGAGGGGACGGGGGAAGAGGGATCAAGGGAAGGGACGAGTGGAGTGAAGATGGCGTGTGGGTGCTGAATTAACGCGCTTCACTCGAGCAAGGGCGGGCTCGAGTGACTCCCCTCCCCCACGCCCACAGGAAGAAACACTGCCATTGCCATACAGGGGCAAGGGATGGGTCACAGCTGTTGATAACAACCCACGCCCCTGCATCTTTAAACGTGCCACCGCACTGCACATCACCGGACATCACCGCATTTCACCGCATGCATGCACCTCAGCGAAGAATCGCGTGCAGATGATGTGCACGCTCATGCAAGAAATGGGCCACTGCTGTTGAGAACAACCCATCACCGCACACCACCGCATTTCACCCCACGCACCTCGTCAAACGATCGTTTGCGGATGATGCGCACACCGATGCAGAAGGGGCGCTTATCAATTGCAGCCATGGCGACGTGGTTGTCCCCCGCATGGCATGCCTCCGCTATCTGGAAGGGCGTGGGGGTAGGGGGAGGGAAGCAGGGGGGGAAAGAAAGGGCAGGGGAAGGAAAGGTTAAAGCTGGAAGCAAGGGGCCCTTATCAACGGCAGCCATGGCCACATGGTTGTCCCCCGCATGGCATGCCTCCGCTATTTGGGGAGGAGAAAGGGCAGGGGAGAGAAGGGGTAAAAGAGCGGATAGGATAAGGGCACCTGTTGGGGAGGAGAAAGGGCAGGGGAGAGAAGGGGTAGGAGAGCCAGGCGGGATAAGGGCACGTGTTGTCAATGGCGGGAGGGAGAGGGAGAGCAGAGCAGCGAGAGAGAGAGAGAGCGCGTGTTGTCAATGGCGGCCAGAGCCTCATCCCTGTCCCCCGCATGGCATGCCTCCGCTATCTTTGAAGGAGAGGCAGAACAGAGGCAGCATGAGTGCAGCAAGGTAGCATGAGCAAAGGACGTACCAGACCTAACATGTGTGGAACAGAAGCAGCATGAGCAGGCAAGGAAGGCAGAGCAGTTAGGCATTTTTGGAACGTCAGGCAAGGCAAGGCAGCAGCGAGTGAGGGCATACTGAGGGTCCGTCATCGCGGCCGTTTGCTCCCAGCAGCTGCTGCCCAGGCCGGTTGGTGACTCGTACACTGCGACCTGCGCGTGGTTAGAGGAGAGGTTAGGGGAGAGGAGGGGAGGGGGCAGAAGGGACAGCACGAGAGAAGGAGAGGAAGTCAGAGCGCCGTTGTAGCACCTGTTGGTGACCCATACACTGCAACCAGCGAGCGAGGGGAGGAGAGGGGAGGGGAGAGGGGGGGGAGGAGAGAGGAGGCGAATGGAAGGGAAGGGTGGGGAGGGAGAGGGAGAGAGCACAAGGGACAGCACAAGAGAAGGAGAGGAAGTCAGAGCACCGTCGTCATGCCCGCGGGCTCCCGTTGTCACGTCCCACCCACCCACCCTCCCTCCCCATCCACCCACCCACCCACCTACGCACACACCCACACCATGCCTCCAACCCGTGCATACCGGCCACCCATCCGCACATGCACGTACACACACAGGCTCAAGCCAGAAGTATCTCACTGTTGATTTGCAGCTGTGGGTATGCAGGCCAGTGCATGCGGTTGGCGGTTTTGTCGTCGCGCAATACACACAGACACGCACACACACACGCATGCACGCACACACACAGGCTCAAGCCAGAGGTATCTCACTGTTTATTTGCAGTTGTGGATATGCAGGCCAGTGCATGCGGTTGGCGGTCTTGTCGTTTAACAGCACACACCACACCTGGTGACAAGGCATCCGACAGAGTGAGGGTTCATTTATTTATTCATGAAGGGTTCATCCACATATACATTCATTCGTAACATTTGCATGACACCAAAGCGGGGCACGTGAAAGAATAAAAGTAATCTGGTCTGGGCATTCACAACAAAACAGAACGAAGGAGAAGAGGAACAAACGCAAACATCACTGGGCAATAATGAAATCGAAGAGCAGCAACTTTCAAACTACTGGGAAGGGCAGGGAAAGGCAGTGGAAGAGAGAGCATTTGCAGAAGTGTCTCCAGCGATTGGGCTCACCTGCAGGTAGGGATGAGCAATATGACGAACTCCTGTTCGGTTCGCCTCGAACGTGTTCGAGGCGAACCGAACAGGATTTTTTTTTGGCCTAAATTGTTCGGGGCGAACGTGTTCGGTGTTTCGCCCGAACACGTTCGCCGTTCGCCCGGCTCAGCTCGCCGAGGCGTGTCGAACACGAACGTGTTCGTGTTCGACACGGGCCTTCGACAAACACCAATGTGTTCGTCGACAAATAGGCCCGCGACCAATTTTTTAGGTCGCGGGCCTTGGTGTTTGGGCTCAGATCTGGCCTTTCGCAGTTAGTAAAGTGCAGATCTAGCATTTTGCCATTGCTTAAGTGCGGATCGAGCATTTCGCCGTTGTTTAAGTGCGGATCGAGCATTTCGCCGTTGCTTAAGTGCGGATCGAGCATTTCACCGTTGCTTAAGTGCGGATCTAGCATTTCGCCGTTGCTTAAGTGCGGATCGAGCATTTCGCCGTTGCTTAAGTGCAGATCTAGCATTTCGCCGTTGCTTAAGTGCGGATCTAGCATTTCGCCCGCTGCTTAAGTGCGGATCTAGCATTTCGCCGTTGCACGCTGGCACTAGATGGATGAAACAGGGCGGGACTGGCTTGGGAGGTGGGGGGAGAGAATGTGCGACGATTTGAATTTTACTCTATATTGAATTTCCCCCTGGGCGAACACGAACATGTTCGCCTGTTGCAGCAATTCGTTCGCTCCTAGGGCGAACGGCGAACACCTATTTTCACTCAAGTCGTTCGCCGAACCGAACACTGTTCGGTTCGGCAGAAGGCCATGTTCGTCAGGGGGCGAACACGAACATGTTTGAGTTCGCCCCTGCTCATGCCTACCTGCAGGTAGTGGTGCGGGCATCTGAGCGTTAAGAGGTCGTGCGGGGTGAGCGTGAAATTGTGCTCCAGTTGCTGCAGCACTTGAAGCATGGTGTACCTGCATGCACCCTTCTGGTTTCAGCTGCTAATCTGACTCACCTGTGCGGCCTTCTCACCTGCAGGTAGTGGTGTGGGCGTCTGAGGAGAGAGAGGTCGTGTGGGGTGAGCGTGAAGTTGTGCTCCAGTCGCTGCAGCACCTGGTTGCTGCGGGGGAGCAGGCGAGATTGCAGAAGAGGGGCAGGAGTGAATGTGAGAGTGAAATTGTGCTCTAAAAGCTGCTGCGGGGATCATGTGAGTGAGATTGCAGTACCGGGGCAGGAGTGAATGTGAGAGAGCACATGAAGGTGAGGGTGAGAGTGAGAGAGAAGGTGCAGGGTGGGCGTCTGAGCAGAGAGAAGTTGTGTGGGGTGAGGGTGAAATTATGCTCCAAACGCTGCAGCACCTGGTTGCTGTGGGGGAGAAGGCGAGATTGAGGAGCATGGGAACGAGGGGAGGGGAGGAGGTGAAGTGAACATGAGAGTGAATATGTGCTCTAGATGCCGCAGCAACTGGTCAAGATGGGCGGGAAGAAGCTGAAATTGAGGAAGGGGGAAAGCGCGGGGAGGGAGGAGTGAACATGAGAGTGAATGTGTGCTCTAGGCGCTGCAGCAAATGGTTGCCGTCGGGAGAAGGTGAAATTGAAGAATGAGGAGGAGGGGAGTGAGGGATAGGGGAAGGGACGAAGGGAATAAACATGAGAGTGAATGTGTGCTTCAGATGCTGCAGCACCTGATTGTGGGGCATGGAGAAAAGGAGCCAGAAGGGAGGTGTGGAAAGAGGAAGGGAGGCAAGCAAGAAGGGCCTGGCCACAATATGACATGATTTGATACCACTGCTTTCTCCTCCCGATGTTTCTCGCAACAGTGGTAACACCGTATCACGGGTTTAGCCTTATGGCTGTCTTGAAACTCAGACTATCTCATCAATGTTCAACCTCGAACCTCACAATACCTCACGTAGTGTATCAGCTTTGTAAGACACTCACTTCCAAGCACCTTCAGCACACTTACTTGTCCCCGGGCAGGCGAATGAGTGCAGTTGGTGGCATTGGATTAGCCACAGGGACAGAAAATCTGATATCGGGCAGACCAGAAGCACAAAGAGGAAAAAAACAACAACAAAAGGGAGTGGGTGGGGAAAGGAAGACAAAGAAAAAAAATATGGGGGAAGATGGACAGCGGGACCGCCCTGTCTTCTCTTAGGATAGGCACATACATGCACATGACATACATGCACATGGCCTGGCAGTCAAACGGCGGGAAACTTGCGTGCGTGCGTGCGTGTGTGTGTGCGCCCTATAGACATGGGATGGCATGGCAGGCAGGCATGAGAGCAACTTCTAAGACAACATATGGCACTGCAACCACGTAATAAGGGCAGGGCAACCACGTGGCAGAGGACAAGGGATATGTGACCACTTACAAGGCTCCATCCTCTGCAGTAGTTTAGCTAAAAAGTCACCACACTTATATGTCCCCCTTCCCTGACACTTAGCAGCCTACTGAACGCCATCCTGATGTGTTTTCTAACCCACGACTCAGATAAGATTTGCACTTACGGAACTCCTCTGGCCATGCAGCAGAGCTGGCAGTAGGTGGTGTTCCGGAGGGGAGTGGTGGTGAGGCTGTGACCCTTGACAAATCTGAAGGTCATCATGAGATATTTGTAACCCACACCACACTTACGGATCTCCTCGGGCCATGCGGCAGAGCTCGCAGTAGTGGTGTTCCGGGAGGCGGATCAGGCTGGGGCGCTGCTGAGGAATCCCCTGTGAGAGGCGGGTTTTTCTGGCAGAATGACGCATTTCACATGCTGCCACACACCACAGCCATGGCCCTCGCACTGGAAACGGCAGGGGGTCGATGGATGAGCGAAAGCAAGAATGCATTGGCAGTAAGAAGTGTAGGGGGTTTCTCTGGCAAAATCACGCATTTCACATGCTGCCACACGCCACAGCCATGGCCCTCGCACTGGGTGAGGAAGACGGGGGGAATGGGCATGAGGGAATGGGAAGCAAGAGGGGTTAAGGAAGGGGCATGATGAGCGTGAGAAGCAGGTTCTCTGGCAGAATGGCGGATTTCACATGCTGCCACACGCCACAGCCCTAACCCTCGCACTTGGTTAGGAGGAAGGAGGGAAGTGATGTGATATGGTAAGGAGGAAGGGGAGAAATGGGGTGGGGAGAGGGGGAGGGGGTAAAGGGAGGTCAGAGAGGGTTCTCTGGGAGAATCACAACACTTCACATGCTGCCACACAGCACAGCCCTGGCACTCGCACTGGAAGGGTGGGAAGTGGTGGGGGAAAGGAAAGGTAAAGGGCAAGAGGGGACAGAGGCGTTATAGACATGAACACACCACCTACCTCCACTTTTGAATGTTTATATACAGGCGCGTCCACCACACAGAACATCCTCAGTCTACCCACCTGGATCATAGTCTTCCTGTTTG